GCTATGGGTTGGAATCTACTCAACTGTACTTAACAACAACTGGTAAAGGAAGGAGCTCTAGTAGCGTAGTAATTACAGGTTGGGCTTCTATCCTCAAGGTCAGCAGTTCGAAACTGCCAACCATTCTGTGGGAGAAAGATGAGGTTTTCCACTCCTGTAAAGATTTACAGCCTCGGAAACCTTATACAGGTTTGCTATGAGTTAGAACAGAGTCCATGGCACACAATCACCACCATCAGGAGCCCTGGTAGCATAGTGGCTTATGAATTGAGCTACTCAACCTTAAAGTGAGCAGTTCAAAATTACCAGCCATTCCATGAAAGAAAGATGAAGCTTTCTGCTCCTATAAAAATTTAGCCTCCGAAATCGTATACAGAATCACCATGAGTTGGAACCAACTCCATGTCACATAATCATCACTACCATCACTTAGGTATGGGAAGCCTTGGCAGCATAGTGCTGCTAACTGCAAGATCAGCATTTCAAATCTACCAGCTGCTCTCTGCAGAAGAGCCTTTCTGCTCCCATAAAGATTTACAGCCTCAGACACCCTAAGTAGGGTCGCTATGAGTAGGAACTGACTTGACACACCACCACCAGCACTTAGGTATGTTGTTGTTACATGCTTTTGAGTTGATTCTGACTCATAGTTGTTACGTGTTGTTTAGTTTATTCTGACTCATAGCAACCCTGTACAGGGTTTCTGAGAAGCACCTGGTGGGTTTGAACTGAGAACCTTGTGCTTCACAGTCCAGTGATGATCATACAATGATATATCAGGACTACGCAAAGGCTTTCGATTGTGTGGATCATGACAAGCTATGAAAAACATTGCAAAGTGTAAGTATTCCAGAACACTTAATTGTGCTCAAGAGGTCTGTACATGGACCAAGAGCCAGTTGTTCAAACACAACATGGGAACACTAAATGGTTTAAAATTAAGAAAGGTGTGTGACAGGGTTGCATTCTTTCACCGTACTTACTCAACCTATATGCTGAGCAAATAATCCAAGAAGCTGGATTATATGAAGAAAAACGTGGCATCAGGATTGGAGGAAGACTTATTACTAACCTGCAATAGGAAGACGATACAACCTTGCTTGCTGAAAGTGAAAAGGACGTAAAATACTTACTGATGAAGGTCAAAAACCAGTCTTTGGTATGGACTGCATCTCAATGTGAAGAAAACAAAAATCCTCACCACTGGACCAATAAACAACACTCTTATCAATGGAGAAAAGATAGAAGTTGTCGAAGACTTTATTTTTCTTGGATCAACTATCAACACTCATGGAAGCAGCAGTCAGGGAATCAAAGGACATATTGCATTAGGCAAACCTGCTGCACAAGACCTTTTTAAAGTGTTGAAGAGCAAAGATGTCAGCTTGAGGACTAAGGTGTGCCTGACCCAAACCATGGTATTTTCAATAACCTCATATGCATGTGAAAGCTAGACAGTTAATAAGGAAGACCGTAGAATTGATGCTTTTGAGTAATGGTGTTGGAGGAGAATGTTGAAGGTGCCACGGGCTGCCAAAAGAACCAACAGATCTGTGTTGGCAGAAGTGCAGCCAGAGAGCTCCTTGGGAGTCCAGGATGGCCAAACTTCATCTCTCATACTTCAGACATATTGTCATGAGGGACCAGTCGCTGGAGAGAGATATCATGTTTGGTAAGGTGGAGGGTCAAAGAAGGAGAGGAAGACCCTCAGTGAGATGGATTGGCAAAGTGGCATCATCAATGAGCTCAAGCATGGCAATAATTGTGAGGTTGGCTCAGGACCGGGCAGTGTTTCATTCTGTTGTGCATAAGGTTGCTATGAGTCGGTACCGACTAACAACAACATATGCAAACATATTTATAAACTCAACATAAAAGACAATATCCTCTCTATAGATTGTTCTAGTTGTCAAGTGCCGTTGAGTTGATTCCGACCCACAGCGACCCTGTATAGGGTTGCCGAGGAGCAACTGTTGAGCTTGAACCGCCGACCTTGCAGTTCAAAAGGCTTTGCAGTCTGGCACATTAACCCACAGCGCCACACCAGGACTTCTCTTTATAGATGGTTAACACCAAAACATCTCTTTCTTATCACCACTGCTAGGTATATCCTTATGGCTTAGGGACTGCTTCAGATAACAACAGTGCTTGAACAAGGACCTTTATCACCAATGCTCAGTTTATTACAAACTGGTACAGGGTCTCTTAAGTGGTGACACAAGGCAGACAGTAAAATGGAGCAGAAAGTAAAAAGGTAGTGAAAGAGTACATAAAACCTACCTGGTGGTCTTCAAAACCCTATCCTCCACTCCCCAGCAACGTCCCAAGCCAAGTCTGCTCATCACTATCAACAAGGAAGTTAGGGGCAATCCCTTACTACCACAGCAGAAGGACCTCCTTTTCATCCTTCTTTCTGCTTAATAATCCTACTACTAGAGATAAGGAACCTAGGAATTTTCTAAAAAAATATTCAGATTGGTCAGTAATGTCTGGGAATCAATGATACATGTTAAGGTTCCTTCTAGTCTAACATTCTAAATTCCTAAGTTGGAATTGTCACTGCATTGTCTGGTAGTTATTGGTCTATGGGTATTCATTGGACTGCTAACCACAAGGTCGGTAGTTTAAAGCCACCAGTCTCTCCTCAGAAACCTATACAGGGTTGCTATTTGTTGCACCAACTCAATGGCAACAATGTAACAACAACAACATTCAGGTATGTAACTGACTAAATAGATTTTTGTGAGCTTACCTAATATTCATACATTGTTTATGTTACTCTCTTATGACCACAGCTAAATTCAAATGAACTTGTAAAATGTCCATGGACTCGAGACCACCAATACACCAACAATGATACAAAGACACCAAATAAAAACACTAAAAAAAACTGCAATTATTATGGCCATAAGTCAGACTCTTCTCATTAAGCTTTTTCACAACTAAGATTTGACCAACATGTCAGAAATAAAGGTAGGATGGCATGCTCATTAGAATCGTTTACTCTGCTAATAGAGCATTTGTGTGGCATTGGATGGAGCATTTGTGTGGCATTGGATCTAAGTGTGTTGTTAACTGCCAATGATCGATTCTAACTCATAGTGACCCTGTACAGGGTTTCTGAGGAGCAGGTGGTGGATCTGAACTGCTGACTCCGTGCTTCAAAGTCCAGTGCTGATCTTACAGTGCCACATTAGGAGTCTGGATCAAAGCCCAGAAATCTAAAGCATTGGTAGAATCCAAGTCATTAAATATCAAAAAACATCTTATTCGGATGTTTGTAGAATGCCCAGAAGTACATTCATTTACTTTTGAACTACACATATTTTTTCTAGCTATGTAACTTCCAACTACCAATTCTCATCATAGACAAGTGTTCCCATAGTTAACATTAAGGGTTAAATATGTTTGAAGATGTGAGAACTAAGCAATTATAAATAGCACTTCAGGAGATAAAACATTAGTAGTGTTCAATTTCAGTGGAACCTAGTCATCTATGAATAAAAAAATCATCAAAAATGGTAGAAACAGAAATTGAATTAAATGTTAGTTGCTTTTTCCCCTTTAAAAATGTGCTTACTTAAATTTGTACAAAATAGCATGATAAATTGCAGGAATGTGTACCCATTTATTTCCTGATTTCTCTAAACAACACAAAAATCTACTATGAATGCCATTATGTAAGTGCATTCTCTGAAGATCAAGAATGATGCAATGGTTGCTATGGTAACTACTCATTTTATTAAGTTGTGGGTTGGGGTTTAAAGCATCCTTTTAGAAAACAAATTTCAACACCTCAACTATGCCATTAAGTCTCTTTCTATTGCTACCTATTAAACAATAGCATAGGTCATCTTTGGTGCTATTTAAGCAGCTTCTATTAAAAGCTAGGCTTAAGTTGCCAAGGAAAGGAAACTTTGAATTTAAAGTTTTGCAAAATGAAACACATGAATTACATTAAAAGAAACAAGATACTTCCTTTTAAGCAGCTAAACTAATTGAAAAGTGTGTAAATAAAAAGTAACATGCTATTACATGTTTCTGTTGCTTCACTGTCACAATTTTGCTTCTAATTCTCAATTATTAACTTAGTGTAAGACTAACGTTAGAAGACTTTTCCTCTTGCAACGGAACTGGAAAGTGAACCCTCATTTTGCTACTTAGAAGACATTTTGAGCATATGAAAAACCGTCGGATAAAATAACTACTAAACAAAACAACTATTTAAAAAAATCCCAAGGAGGACTGTAGCCCGAACTATAAACATTATAAAGAGACACAACCCAAAGTTACTGAGCTCCTTCTGCTAAGGGCTCCCAGCTGTGGCCACCCTCGCTGGCATCGACGTCCTAGGAGGTGTGCTGGTGTTTGGGGAACCAGCCATATCTCCGGGGCCTAAGTACACACTAAGAGGAAGCATCTGAGTGAAGTGGAGAGAGGGAAGAGGGGTGAGCAGGCCCGTAGCTCCTCCCCATCGTACCAAGGTGAAGTCCAGTCAGCTCAAAGGCCTGCTGACTTCGCAGCCCTGGAAGCCAAAGAGAGGATGAGCCCGCAGGAGGGAGTACCCTCGCAGGAGGGGGTACCAGGAAGGGGGGCTGGCAGGCAAGCAGCCAAAACGACGGGCTGGCCAAACCGTTGGGAAAGAGGGACAACTCTGTCTTCCACAAACGGATTTCGCCTGCCTGGGCGTTTTACCTGCCAGGTTACTGGCAACACGCTGCCCCTCCCTCCGGGGTGCGCGCGGACTGCAGGTGAGAGCGGTGACAACCGTCTCGGCACCGCAGGCCCGGAACTCTCTCCAGGGCCCTCGGAGACAAGGGGCCGCAGGAGCGCGCCCAACGCCGGCCAAGGGCTCGGGCCGAGCCTGGGTGCCCGGCCCGGGCAGGGCTGACGTGCCGCTCCCCTGGGTGTCAATGGTGGCCTCCTTCTCGGCGGGAGGGAGAAGGGACAGAGGTAGGGGTGGTAAGGCCTCCCCGCCCCCCGCGCAGCCCGCTGTTTACCTTCCCGGTACTTCTTGCGGAGCCTCCGATGGACGTTCTTCACCACCCCGGAGAGCTTCTCCTGCTCCAGTTTCCGCTCCTGCTCCCGGGGCGGCGGACTGCTCGGGGGTCCAGCCCCCTGACTGCGAAAAGCACCTCGGCTGCCGGCCCCCGGCTCCATCTCGCCGCCGCCGCCGCCCCTCGGGCCCCCGCAGACGATCGCCTGACGGAGGAGGTGGGGAAGGAGGAGGCAGCAGCGGAGGCAGCCTCTGGAGAAGGCAGAGGCGCAGGAGCCCCGGACTCGGAGGTGGCACCTTTTCCAAATGCACAAGCTTATTGGTAAATTGTGGAGGGTTGGGCGGAAACGGAAAAAGCCAAGGGCCAATCGACAGAGAGTGCCCACGGCGCACCGGTTGTTTGGGATGCGAGCAGCTGGAGGAGGCGGGGCTTGCAGGCCGAGGGGAGCTGAGGCTGTGGGAGCGCCAAGCAAAGGGCTGGTTGCTATCCCCCTTCCCTTCTCCGGTGTCTTTGCGCAGGCGTAGTGGTGCGGCCGCTGGTGACGCGCTTGCGCGGCCAAGTTTGCTGAGTTTGGGCTTCGTTCTGCTATCCTGCTTTCTCGCTTCTTCCAGTCCTTCTCCCTTCCCCCTCCCGCGGGTTGTAATCTGGTACGATTCGACCTGAGCCCCGGCTGCATCTTGTCAAATGTGCTGAAGACGCATTTATGAGAGGCCATTCATGTTTCCATTGACTCCAATAGAGGTCTGACTACGAAGTGCTGGTTTAATTCTCAGGCCGACAAACTCTCTAAGGGCGGGGTTCAGTGCTCTTATTGCCACTGCCCGTCAAGGGACACACAATGGGAAGAGAAGAGGGCCAAGATAAGCAATCGGAGATGCAAGGAAGAGAGAAGGCAAGCCAGAAAACGCACTTAAGAAGTTTGTAGAAGCCCCTGGCCATAGCACTTCTGCTGTTGGTCTAATTTGAGTCAGAATTCTGAACAGTTTTCGTCTGCTCGGTGACTTCCTGCCCTTTTCTTAAACGACTTGGAGCATGCTTGAACGGATTTGGCAACCTGCTTTCCTTCCTCCTCTATTCCTCGCCTTCTGGGAGTATGTGCTTGCTTACTCCTGTTCCGGAAAGGGTGGAACTGCTCTCCAGAGAGGCAGACCTTGCATTCGCTCCTGAAGTGGTACTGAGATTGCTACAGAGCCAGAGATTCAAAGCTTGATCTAATTCTGTGCTATTGTAGAGGACCGCATATGTTGGTTACATGACATTTAGAAGTTGTTACAATGACAACTTTTTGATCAATGATCTTATGCATAAAATAGTTTGCACTACTGATTACGAGTCGGGCTGCCAACCTCAAGGTCAGCAGTTCAAAACTACCAGCTGTTCCGTGGGAGAAAGATGAGGCGTTCAGCTCCCGTAAAGATTTGCAGCCTAGGAAACCCTATGCAGGGTCACTATGAGTCAGAACCGATTCCACGGTACTTAGCAACAACAATGTAACTTTTATGTATATTCAGATGCCTTCTGAATGATGAAGTCAGGAAGAACAAAACTTTCCACGCTCTGGAACACAGCAGGAACAAGAGGAGAAAGGTGAAGAGAGAAAAATGGTGAAATTTAAGGTGGAAGATATGCCCCTACTTTAACAGTGCAGATGCAAATCAACAGAGACAGTTACATAGGAACTTCCATACAACTCATTACAAGGATCAGTAAGAACAACACAGAACTGTCGAATAAATTGAAAACGTAGTTGGAAATTTCTTTGAGAAGTAAGGTGAGCCTAAAGGGGTTATCTCTTCGGGCTCTTTCCATATTTTACTATATCTGGGAGGCATTGTTGTTGTTATGTGCCGTGGAGTCGGTTCTAACTCATAGCTACCCTGTACGGGGTTTCTGAGCTTGTAAATCTTTACGGGAGCAGAAAACCTTATCTTTCTCCCGTGGAACAGCTGGTAGTTTCGAACTGCTGACCTTGCGGTTCGCAGATCAGTTTGTAACCACTACGCTACCAGAGCTCCTTTCTGGGAAGCATAAGGAGGTGCAAATATGTATTTGGGAGTTAAATGACAGTAAAGAGAGTGTTAAATTTCATTTGTATTGCACTGTACTTACTTTGTTTAATTTTTTCCATATGACTATTGTTAGGTGCTGTCAAGTGGGTTCTGACTCATAGCAACCATGTTCACAACAGGACAAAATACTGCCTGGTCCTGCACCATTCTCACTATCATGGGTACACTTGAGTCCATTGCTGTTGCCCCTGTGCCAATCCATCTCATTCAGGGTCTTCCTCTTCTTTTGCTGACCCTCCAGTTTACCAAGCGTGATGTCCTTCTCCAGGGACTGTTCCCTCCCTCCTAATTATGTATTTAAAGTATGAGAGATGAAGTCGTGCCATCCTGGCTTCTAAAGCTGTACTTCTTCCAACAGATTTGTTTGTTCTTCAGGCAGTCCATGGTATTTCAATATTCTTCTCCAACAGGATACCTCAAATGCATTGGTTCTTTTACTATTTTCCTTATTCACTGTTCAACTTTCACATGCATACCACGCTACTGACAAGATCATGGCTTTGCTCAGAGACACCTTAGTCCTCAAACTGACATCTTTTCTATTGACCACTTTAAAGAGATCTCATGCAGCAGCCTACTGTGAATGGATTTTTAATTCTTTTTAAAAAGGAAATATATACACTGAAGGAAATCTGAGAAGTACAGATAGGAGCAAAGAAATAAGTCACCTGGAAAACCAACACAGAGATAATATCTGTTTCTTTACATGTATGTGATCATATTTCTTGATGGCTGTGTGGTAATATATTGTATGACTAGTCTGTCATTTCATGAACCAATCCTCCATTATTATATATTTGTGCTGTTTCCATTTTTTCTCTGAATTACAAATAATGCTATATTAAACAACACTGTATATACATCTTTGCCCATTACTTTGATTATACATTTCATTAGACTAAATTCCTAAAGTTCGGATTTCTGAATCAAAGGGCCATATGTGTTAACATTTTTATATTGTCAACTCAACTTTTCTGAATTATAGTAGCAATTTATGCCATCTAGCAGTGTATAAACACCCAGGTGATACGGAAATAAAAGTATTTACAGCTAAAGGAATGGTTGGATGTTCAAACCCACCAATTATTCCTTGGGGAAAAAGTTGAGGCAGTCTGCTTCTGTAAAAATATACAGCTTTTCTGGCTGGTCCGAAGTGTGGTGAGACCTGGGAGCTCCTGGGCCCAGGGACAAGGATACAACCACGGAGGGCTAGAAGGGCTAGAGCTGAGAGCGATGCGTCCAGCTGATATAAAGTGAAGGGAGACGCACGAGAATGCCCAAACTTGTAGATAGTTCCCATTCAACCTAGTTTCAATGGCTTCATGATCAGAACTTGACTGCTGGTGGTGGTAGGAGTGTGCCGTGGATGATGATGCATGGAAGAGATTGTAATCATTGCAATGAAACGATGAGTGTAAAACTGGTATTCTCCCTTGTAAACTATCACTGAATTCACAATAAAAACATTAACCTCACCCCCCCCAATAAAAAAATATTTATACAGCCTTGGAAGCTCTGTGTGACTCTGTGTGACAGTTCTACTGTGTCTGATATAGTCACTAGGAGTTGGAATCAACTCAGTGGCAGTGGGTTTGGTTTGGTTTTATGGCCAAATCTGGTTGATAAAATTTACAAAACTTCAAATGAAATTGTCAAAGATCTCTATTTTTAAGAAATGTGTGGGAATTTCCTGCTATTTCTTAACTTGTTCTTCTGGTTGGCATAATATTTAACATGAAATTTTAATGTAAGAGTTGATAAAATTAACTTATTTAATCATATCTAGTTGTCATTTATCACATTCTCAATTTGCTTTTTGATTTCACACTTGCAAAACTGTACGTATTCGAGGAGCAGTCTCAAAATTGACATTGGACAGCTGGATTTCATTCTAAATTTGCGTGGATTCAAAGGAGCATGAGCCAACATATCCTGAGGAACATCAATAATGAGTTTTCTTAAGAGAACTACAACAGCTGGCTCCAGACCACTGAGTAGCATGGAGTTTATACCTTTCATCAGTGTGATTAATAATGTTGGAAATTGTTTTTATCTGCTAGGTAATATAAGAATAGTAATTGGGTTTTCCCTATAAATGAAATAACTGTTGTCCTTATTGATTGAAGGGAATCTCTGAAGGTAGAAAGTTTGCGGTTATATCAATAAGGAATATTCTTTCCCAGGAAAATACCAATACTTGCCACCTCCAATTCCCATGTGGTGACAGGTTTGCATTTGCTGTAAATATCTTAATTTTCCAAAATAGTGTTGGAGCAAGGAGATGTTAGAGTGAAATACTATTCACTAAGCAGGACAAACCAGTCTGGGAGGAAGACATTTCTAATGACTGCACTGAATTTCTCACCCTCCTTTTTTACCTGCAAGCTTCTGTACTCTTCCCATGCTGGCTGGGTGTGTCAGAGTGAGTTTCTGTATCAAAGAACATTCTTAAAAATAGACCTTGTCCTTTTGATTATAGTTACGTAATTTATGAGGAAAACAAATTCCCACAGAAAATGTGGAGAGTCAACATACTATAAAAATAAAATAGATTCTATTTTCAGGGTTGTTATGAATTGGAACGAACTCAACTGAACACAATAACAACAGTTGAAAAGTTGATGGTTTGAACACACCAAGAGGTACCTGGCGAGACAGGCTGGCAATCTGCTTCTGAAAGATCACAGCCCTGAAAACTTTGTGCATCCTTTTGTGCACTGCACATATGATCACCGTGAGATGGAATCGACTCTTCAAGCAACTAGCAACAGCAATCCCAAATGAAGGCCCTTAGATGATACAAATTGTTTTTGATAGATGACTAATCAACGAATAGCAATGGGCTTGATTTCAATTTTTGTTGTCTTGTTTTAGAATACTAAATGAAATTATGAATTAAAATTTTTGATAAGCTAATTAATGAAATAAGTTGGAAATCATAACAGGTCTAATGCAGGAATAGATCTAGATAGTGTTGTTGTTAAGTGCTGTCAAGTTGGTTCTGACCCATAGTGACCCTGTACAGGGTTTCCAAGGCTATACATCTTTATGGGAACTGAAAGCTTCGTCTTTTTCCCACAGAACGGCTGATAGTTTCAAACTGCTGACCTTAAGGTTTGCAGCCTGATTTGTAACCACTATGCTACCAGAGCTCCTTAGATCTAGATAGAAAATGGCAATTATTCCTCCAGG